AACGTGCATATGAACAGTGAATACTAGCAACCTCCCTGCAAATGGGGGTGGCTAGAAGACTGGCCTCAAACTCTCAACCTGTTCTACTGCACAGTGGTGGTGAACCAGGAGGGTAAGAGGTTCACTTGTTTGTTTTTGAGACAGGGTCTCAGGTAGCCAGACTGGCCTCCAAGTCACTATGGAGCTAAGACTGGCCTTGAACGGATGGGTCTACCTTCACCTCCCAAGTGTTAGAATTACAGGCAGGTACCTCCATTCCCTGCTGGGAAGGTGTTTAACCTCTCTGGGCCTTAGTCACCTCATTTCTAAGACGCTCTGAGCCAGCCAGCTGTAAAGAAGTAAGAAAGACTTGCAGTCCTACCCTACTGAGACCACACCTGTCCCCATGCCTCCCCCAGAGTGGCTCAGATCCTCAAAATGTGCTCCAAAATATACTCACCTATAAAATAAAGGAAGGGGTTCCCTTAAAAAACATAAGCTAGCATAAACCTGCTGGCTTGCTCTCTGTTACTTGGCATCACTTCCCAGCACACGCTACACACTGTACCCACAGGAAAAGACTCTGCTTCCCCTCCCCACTCTACTTCCACACCGTATCCCCACGAACCCTCCATCTTTAGTTGCCTGCCTGCCTGGTACCTCCTCCATGTTATCTTTAAATTACCAATTCCTTAGGGAACGTTTCTAGACGTTGCAGCCAAGGGTAAACATTGTTCAAGAACTCCTCAATATCTAGTACCTCCCCGCCGGGTAACACTTAAAAAAGTACATATGCGCTTAAGCTCGGAAGCAACCACCAAGGAACGCTAACCAGCAGATTTGGACACCACAAACACCAGGCAGGACATGAGTGCCCACTGATGGCCTGGCACTGAACCAACATTGCTATTTTAAAGGGCGAAGGTGCTTGCACATGGAAGCCGAAGTACTTTCTTTAGAAGACTAACAGTTTTAAAAATTGAAATTTCAAAAGATTTACTTTTATGTGCATGTGTTTTGCCTGCATGTGCCTCTTCTTAACCACAAGCCGTCTCTCCAGCCCCAGCAGATCTTTTTTCAGAAGTCAGAAAATCATGTTAGTCTTGCTTTTAAAAAGGCAGTTTCGTGTGGCCCACATTAGCCTCAAAGCCACTATGTACCAAAGATGTTCTGGGCTCCTGAGCCTCCTACTCTCAAGCGGTAGGCATAGCAATTCAGGTATCTGGTCATAGAGCTCACTCAGTAGGACTCAGCTCAGAAGCACACACTGAGTTTTTCTGTCATGTTACAAAGAGCTCTTATCACATTCCACTTGTCTGTCAAAACCAATATCCCTCCTAGGGCTGTGGGCAGTCCAACTCCCCAGCTGGTTTTCATTCACACTAGAAACTTTAACTCCGTTCTAGGCCTCACAAAATGAGAGCTGTGTCCACACAAAGCCACAACAACCAGCCAATTCACTGAATCCAATGAAATAAGCCAATTCACTGGGGGACACAAACTGTCAAACTGGTTACTTGGTGCCTTATAGACCAAACAATGCGTGATTCAAACAGTTCACTTTTTAATAGGTTGTCTTGTCATGTGGCTGCTACATCAAGTGAAAGATTTTCTTTATCACTGTTTTGTCTTTTTATTAAACACAAGAGTAAGGATGTTTCTGACAGAAGAGTAAATAGCCAATGTCTAGTCTTTAAATTGTGGTCAAACACACCAAATTTCATCGAACTGAATGAGCCCCCAAGGCCACAACTGTGGAGCAAGGCACTGCAGCCTGCTTTTTGGCTTTAAAATAAGAGTCGTTGGTCCCAATCTCATCTTTGTAAATGCACAGCCTTGGGAGACAGAGACATGAGCAACAGCAGCCTTAGACAAAGCTCTATTCACAGCCGCCCAAGTGCAGTCTTGGGGTTTCAATTTCATTCAGTTGAGTGTGGAAGGCTCCCACTGAGGGTGGGCTGCTGAATGGTTCCGTTGGGAAAAGGACCCAAGAAGGAGCACTGGCATTACAGTCTGCACTTTCATTAAAAGAGATCAAAGTGTCCCTCTGACTATAGTAAGGTATTAATCTAGCAAATTAGCAAGAGTACTGAGTACTTTTTTTTTTTTTCTTTCTATCACATTGGTACCCAGAGCAGAGCCTCTCTTCATTAAGGTGGTTGCCAGGGTGAGCACAGAACATGCAGCTGAATCACTGTGGCTTTAACCTTCCACCAAAGAGGAAGTGGTGTGGTTAGGGGAACCACAGCAGTCTTCTCCCTGGGTATAGTGCCATGCTCCACCTGCTGCTGGGGCATTTCACCTTATGCCTTGCTTCAGCCCAAACTTCTGGCCTACGATACTCAGCCCTTTGAGGACGTTCCCTTTTACAGAGAACGGGCCAGGAGAGACATCAGGTGCTCAAGGTCCAAATGAGATAGCAGGGAGTGGGGATCTGAACCTAGGACTGCATTCCCGGGGATACCTACTATACTTGAGCTAGCCTCACACGAGCTCCTCTACAGGTTTTCCTTGGGTGGGCAGATGACTCTTTCATAGCAAGTACGTAGATCTGGCTGCCCCATCTGGGTGCTATGGCTTGGGCCAGAAGGGGTGGGAGGGGGGCACTTCCCCACCAGTATGGCCTGCAGGAAGATCTGAGCTGCTTTCTATGACCAGCGTGCTTTCCCCCTCACTTCAAATAAATGTTGTTACTGCTTTGCCATGCCAATAAAAATCAAAGGATAAATCCCACACGGAGGGTGGCTTGCATTCTCTGCCCTGATGGTATCTTGTTCTTCCAGTAAAACAAGTGTCAGTCTGCACTCCCAATGGCAGCAGTCCTAACAGGAGGCCTGCTCTGTGGCAAAGGCTTTCATTCTCTTTGCAGGGATGGATGACAAAGCACCACTCTCCATGTCAGGGAACACAATGCTACCGTCCACCTACTCTTTCCTAAGGATACTCTGAAGATGACTGCTGGCACACCATGGTTCTTGGGCCAGAGGAATCAGTTCTGTCTGATTTGGAGAGGCATGGCCTGTATAACTTAAGACAGGCTAGAAACTGGTACTTCACGCCTGATCCAGAAGCTGGGAACATGTCTGGTCTTCAGCAGAGACACAGCTCAAGATGCAGAGAGTAGGTGTTTCTACTGAGTAAAGTCTTGCTAAAGTGTGTGGCCTAGAAATCATGGTTTGTCAATTAAAACCAACCAACGAACAAACCTATTTATTTTTATTTTTTTGAGAAAGGCTCCAGGCTGGCCTTAGATCCGGTAGGATCCTCCTGTCTCTACGGCTTTAATGTGGGAAATATAATGAGGACCACCACACTTGGCTTTATGTGGTGCTTGGACTGGAACGCAGTGCTTTTCGAAGGCTTGACATACTCTCTACCAAGTATCCCCAGTCTGGGAGCATGTTTTCAAAGCATCGTTTGCAGTGTTAAAAATATTGCCAGAAGTCAGAAAGACTTATAATTCAGTGTGCTATTACACCACCTTCCTAATTCCCAGGTGTGCCGAACACCCCCACAAATCAGAAGACTGTCAGTATTCACATAAGCTGTTCTAGCAATAGTTTTTAACAGAAGTGGAGGAGGGAAAAAACCAATAATGTTTAAAATGTTCAGATTCTGTATCATTAAACAGGAGAGCTTTGGAAAAACACAGGAGGTTGGTTAGGTTTCTAAGTAAGAACTACTTTCACCGGATCTTCCCTCCAAGTTCTGAAGAACAAAGTCTAAGAGGCAGCACGGACCCCAAGTAAACTAAATGGGAAGAATGTAGTGAAAGGAGATAGGGGCCCAGAACCCCCACAGCACTGCTCTGCCCTCTCTGACACAGACAAGAAGGCTGTGGAAGCCCTGGTCAGCAGTGACTGAGGAGCACCCTACATGTCCAGGGTCACACTGGTGTCACGCTCTTCCATCTCCTAGGGCCATGGGCTACCATAATGGCCTCTCTGCTACCTCTCAGGGCTCCAGATTATACTCCAGATGGTTCTGATATGGTGTGTCTAAGGCATTCATTTCTGCAGACTGCGTCCTCCAAGGTCCTCATAAAGCCTCACAAATGGCTGCTGTCTGCTACCTCCTGGCAGGGAGTGGGGAAGTGAGCACCTTCCTGTGTTTAATGCTGGCCAATTATATCCCTGCTAGAGTCTCACCAAGAAGCCATCCTCTGATCATAACAGTACTCCCCTATAAAAGGAGAACTGGGGAGTGGGGGGAGGGGCTGGGGGAAATACACTCTTTGTCACAGAGTCTAAGCCTAAGAGGACAGGGCATTGCCTTCAGCTCTCTGCCTCACAAACACCAAGCTAAAGTCTTCAGCAAAAAGGCATTTCATCTGCTGCGGCATTAGGGCCAGGCCCGACATGGAAAACACTACTAGTAACTTCTTCCCTCCCTTGCTGCTCTCTGCCCCTGCCACACCTGTGGTCCCTGAAGTTCAGAGTCTCACTGTTGGAAGCAATGACTGCAGAAAAATGAAGTAAGGGGACATGTAGAATCTCATTTTATAAATACAGAGAACGCCCAGGCTGACTTTTTCTGTTGTTTTTGCCATGTCAGCACTTTCACAGATTTGCGTCTGTAGCGATCCGCGCTAATGTAAAAGGCAGCACACCTTGTGATCAGCTTGGGAAAGGAGAAGCATCTGAGAGCCATATAGAAGATGCTCAGGACAAAGGGTGCAGATCTGCAATCTCTCAGGGAGGAAAGAGGGCCCCTGGCTTGCCTCCTTGTCAGCACACTGAAGGGCTCTACTGCTCGCTTGAGTAGTCAGGGTTCTAGACAAAGGCAATCCCAGGATACCAATCCAAGGCATGAACTACATGAGACCTGCCAGCACTAGGTATCTAATACACAGGGTGACCCTTAACCCGAGGCCAAAGAATGCATGTACCCTCATGCTTAGGCGCACTCACATCCATTTTTTTTTTTTTAAACAAGTTGTCCTTGAATAGATGTCATCATCAGCCAACTCTTACCGAGATGCTGTGCAAAGCCCTCCTGACTCATCCTAAATCAGGTCTTACCTTGGTGTTCCTCCTTAGACTTCGAAGGATATTCCTCCTCCTGGGGTCCTCATCTGTTTCATATGGAATGACAGCATTGTCCCCTTTATAACCCTGGGATGCCTGATCCTCCTCTTTCTTCCGGATGGGCCCCAGCTCGTCATCACTCCCAACACTGAAGCTGGTGCGGTAGCTGGCAAACCGCCCCAGCCGCGTGCATCTCGTCCTGTAGAGCACAGGCTTACTCACAGCAGAGACTTTGCGGCCTCGCTCTAGAGAACTCGTGTCCATTTCACTGTCAGAACCATTGCCACTGCCATTGGACTGGGCTTTGTTGATGTTTCGAATGGTGATGATCTTGCCTTGGGTGCTGTCGTGAGGCACCGAGTATATGTTTTCTTCCTCATTCCTCGGCTTGACCACAGCATCCATGGGCTCTGCATAGTCAGAAGGATCAAACCCATCCTGAGGCAGCCAGGCGCTGGAAGACACTGACTTCCTCTGTCCCTCCCGATGACCCTGGTCTAGGTAAGACAGCTCTTTTGTGATCTCAAAGTGGACAGGAGGCTTTGGTCTGACTGGTGGAGGTACTTTGTTGTTCAGTTTACTCTCAAAATTGCTCATTATGAAAGACAGCCCATCATTCCCCTCCAGTTCCATAGAGAACTTGGAATGGTCTTTGGACAGGGAGGGCAAGGTTGCATCTTCCCGAAACAGGTGGTACGATGGGGGCTCCACATCTTCCTCTGAGTCCTGCAGGTTTGAGTTGCAGAGCGGCGAGCCGGCCCGGGGGGAGTTGAAGACCTCTTCCGTGGTGCTGCAGGCCTCGGCAACGTTATCGTACATGTGTGTGGCCTCGATTATGTTCTTCTTCTCCACCACGTCTTTAAAAAAAGGATGGAAGATATCAAGTTTATGCTGGGGCTGGCTACAAGGGATGCTTGTGAATCTCCCATCAATTTCTTGTGCAATTTCCTCCCCCTCTGTCAGCTGCTCTCGACTTAAGTCATTGTCCAGAACATCGATGGCGCCATCAGTGAGTGCGACAAGCTGGATGGGAATAATGTCCTGCACTTCACACAGAAAGGCACGTAACATTGCCAAGGAGGCCTTCCTTTTGGCTGAGTAAAAAACAATGTATCCATGAACCAACCGGCTCTTTCGGATGCTGAAGGAGGAATGGTATGAAAGAACAGACAGCTCAATGCGCTTCTTGTGTAGTCCAATCGGAAGTTCAAGTAAAACAGAGTTGCTGCTCCCACAGTGGGAAGATTTACAAGTTTGAGACTGCAGGACAGGAGAGAGTATGTCATCTGCACTAAAGGGATCACCACACATCAGACACATGACAATTCGAAGGTCCACATCAGCCAAATCTTTGATACTAGCAGTGGAGCTGACCAGGTTTAAGTTGCGCTTAGAGTCTAGGAGTCCCTTCAGAACTTGACTGATCTGCTTCTCATTAATGTTGCGCCCATAACCAATGCCAGCAGAAGCGGGATCAAGAAAGACACACTGCAGTTTGCTAGCAATCTGCTGGCCTTGCTGAATCAAGCTGTGTAGAGTCTCTCCACTTGTGTCCCCTCTCTTGTTAACTAAAATTAAGGTCAAGGGGAGATGGACTAAGTGATTATCCCGCCTGCCCAGTGTGGACTCTCTGCTTTTCTCTATACTCTCCACCACATAGGACAAGGACTCCTTTGAATTGTAAAGGCAGAGGCAGCCATGGGGTTGGAAAGTTGGTGTCTGGAAAGAGTTCACAGGAAGCCTGACATTCCCCTCTATTGGTCTCAGAGAAAGTTCATACATTTTACCATCTATTACATACTTGTCATCATTTGTACAAAGAGCTCGAATTTCATTGGCCAACTCTCGGGCAAGGCCATCTTTGCCTAAGATAACCAAATTGATCCTATCAATATTGGGGTCAGACAAAGAGTTCTTCTGATTCCTATCAGATGGCCGAATAAAACGAGAACTGATCAAGTGTTCAATCTTAGCATCTACACAAGCTGGGCAGCTTGGGCACGTCTCCTTCGTGGGGTGGTACACGAAATGAATGTGTTTCAGAATGAGAGCATCACGCTCTGCCTGGAGCTTCTGCAATGCTTTAAACCGTTGCTCTTCCCCCAGAACATCCTGGATGACACCCATCTTTTCCTTGCTGGGCTTAGCATCCAGCTCCAGCTCATAAAACAATTCCGAGTACTCTAAAAGCAACTCTTGGAACTCTTCTTTTGCTCGGTCTATAATCTGCTTTTGGTGCTTGCCATAGATGTCCATGTACACAGATTCTTCCAGCCACTGGTAGAAGTCTTCATTCATAATAAAACTACGAGCCTCTTCCCAAGGTTTCCCAGGAGTTATGAAAGGAGAGGTCTCCAGGTTTTCTTTGAACGCCCTTCTCATCTCAGCTCTCTTCCTCTCGTTCCTCAGTTTCTCCAAGTGGGACTCATACAGCTGCTCAGCAGGGACGGTGTCCATCAAGTCAAAGGGAATCCGCTCATTTTCCATGTTGTCGATGTGGCTGGTGGCATCCCACGGTGTCTCTTCAAGGACAACAAACCACTTTAAGAACTCTGGCTTGGTCTCCAACAGCTTTTTCGCTTTGATGCAGCTCAGGTGGTCCACTTCATCTAGGTTAGGTATGAGGGCTTCAAAAGCCAGCGGCAGGGCTGCCAGGTACAGCTTTCTCCGGCGCTCGATATGCTCGTGCTTGAGGCGGTGGACATGCTGCAGGAAGAGCTTCTTGGCCTTCTGTGTCCCTTCCAGGTAGACGTAGTCCTGGTACTCAGGAGAGGCCTGCATCTTTCGGCTGACACTCAGCCAGTTTTCATTGTGATTCTTCACAATGCGGCTCACCAACCACTCATACTTATCCTTTGCCGTAGCTATCTGCTGACTCTGCTGCTTGAGGGCTTCAAAGTAAGGGATGATTTTTGTCTTCCCTCGACTCTTGTCGATGAGCTGCACTAAGGTGCTGAAAGCCAAGTCCACATTCACGTTGGACCTTGCTGAGGTCTCTACAACCTGGAGGTTCTTTTTGCTTAAGGCAAAAGTATGTGCATCTCTAATGTACCGCTCAACGCCCTCATCACACTTCGTCAGAACTACCACTATGGGCTTTTTTGTTTTTGCAAGCTGATTGTAGAGATTGGAGACAAACTTGAGCTGGTCATCAAAGTTCCTGTTCATGCCCCTGCTAACGTCGATGCCCAGAAGGAAACCGTCAACCAGCAGCTTTCCATCTGGCATCTGTTTCTGCTCAAAGTCCTGCTCCAGTCCCAGCTGGTCAGTGCAAAAATACATGAGTTTTTCAGCTGATGCGAGCTTGGTGGCTGCAGCTCTCTTGATATAGGGCTGCAGGGCTGTGCTGCGATGAGGTTGAAAAGTCTGATCGTCGATGAACTCAGTCTGTTCCACAATGTGCATCTTACATTCCACACAGTCCTCCAGGGAGCGGCTAACTTCTCCCCAGTACAGAAAGTGGTCATTATTGACCACCCGCCCACCAAAGTCACTGGTGCTGAGGACAGAAGTGTGGTCCAGGTGAAACTCATCAGCACTCGGACGCACAAAGCGGTTACATAGACAAGACTTCCCAATGCCGCACTGGCCCTTCTCCTTCTCAGTCCCGGACAACCCCACCACGCTGATGTTGTAGGTGGGGATGCGGACATCTTGCTTTCTTGCCATCATCATCTTCCAAACATCCTGCCACAATCAGTCACTTCCGAGATCAGATTGGTGCTCTGCTGTAGAGTGAAAGGTCTTCTCAGCAGCGCCAGTGGAGACCGGCTGCCCAGGCAGCACAAAAGTCAGGTCCCATAGTGTTCTAAACCAGTACGATGTCAGCTCTTACTACTCATCGCCAAACAGCCAACATGTCTGCCTAAATGAAGGGGTAAAAAAAGAAAAACCATCAGGATCCAAACTATTTTAACTACTGAACTGCAATATAAGTAATTTTTAACACAACAAATATTTAGTGAACCTAATGTCCTCGTGTGCCAGGCCTTATGCTGGGCGAGTGAATAAGGCTGACCATCAAGTTGTCTAGAGGAATCAGAGGGTAAAGGGATTTGCTACGTAAGCCTGAGAACCCAAGTTCCATTCCTAGATTCCACAGAGAAAGAAAGAAGCAATTTCCGGAATCGGCCTCTACCTCCCACACAAATGCTGTGGCATGTACATGCCTATGCAGGAACAGTTATTCACATCCCTCATGTACAATGATAATGGAAACAACAAAAAGGCTAATACCAGTGTGTTTTCAAACAGGTAGAGTCCTGTCTGAAAGACCTCAACAGGAGGATATAAATAAGGAGAGTATAAAATGCTAAGGTGGTAAGTGAGGACTCGGGAGGAAATGTGGCTAACTCTAAGGTTAAATACAAGATGGGTCAGAAATGTCCCTTTGTTTTGTTTTTTGAGACAGGGTTTCTCTGTAGCTCTAGCTGTCTTTGAACTCAGCCTCCGTCTCTTCAATTACTGGGGTTAAAAATGTGTGTCACCACACCTAGCTGAGTCAGAATACCTTACACAAGAAAAAATAATGGGACATCTCACAAGGACAATGGTGTCGTCTTTAAGGAGCTCCTATGAGTAAGGTCTAGGATAATCTGAGAACTAGTGGAATTACACAGTAACGCATTACACCTCACTGAAAAAATATCAATTACAGTCCATACAGTCGGCTCAGGTAAGAGTCATGACCGAAGGTTAAATGTAGGGAACTCTTGAAGGGCAGCATGTTGACAGCTGAGTCAAGTGCCTCCTGAGACTGCTTACTGATTACTGGGAAGAGAAGCCCTCAACAGCAATTGCAATGGGGAAAGCAAACAACACCTTCACTAGGGCATCAAAATTCATATCCACAGTGCGGTGTGGAAGCACTTAGGAGACTGAGGCAGAAAAAGCAGTGGGTCAAGATTAGCCTTGACTACAGAGAGGGAAGAGGGAGGATAGAGGATAAAGGAGGAACGAAAGAATAAAGCTGGAAGACTCAATCTTGCTTTCAAAACTTATTACAAAGCAACAATCAAAACAGTCCTGTAGTAACATAAAGACAGACCAATGGAAAAGAAACAGAAAGCTCACAGCTAAATTCATATATATCACTGAGTCTTTTTTTTTTTTGGGGGGGGGCATGGTTTAAGACAGGGTCTCACTTACGTAAACCTGGAACTCATTATGTATAAAACAGTCTGGCCTTAAACTTACAGTGATTGCCTGCCTCTACCACCATGCCTGGCTGGCTAAATGACTTTTGACAAGGATGCTGAGATCATTCATTGGGGAAAGGACAGACTTTTTACCAGTTGATCCTCGGAAAGATCGATCTTCACACTGGAAAGGATGGAGGTAGGTCTTTATCTACATCACATACAGAAGCTAATCTCAGGGTTGGGGATGGAACTCAGATGTAAAAGTACTTCTTTGGCATTTGCAAGGCACTGAGTTCAACTTAGCAACAAAAAACCAGTTGTGCGGGGTGACGATCAAGGTGGTGCACCCTTTTAATCTCAGCACTTGGGAAACAGAGGAAGGCAAATCACTATGAAGTCAAAGTCAACTCCATCCACATAGAGTTCCAGGGTCTCCAAGACTACAATCTCAAAAAATTAAAACAAAAAACAAACCCAACTAACAACCAACCAAAACCCAAGTCTGAATGGATCAAAGACCTAGAACTACAAAGCACAGAAGAAAATCTAAGGCCAAAGAAGAAAACCTAAGGCCAAAGACTCCCATGAACACTGGTGTGTGGTGCAGAGGTAAGCACTGGCCACCAGGCCCATCACACACGATGTAACCCATCAAGTCCATCTCCTGACTGCACAGGCACACTGCAGCACACATGCATGCACGCACGCACGTTTATGTGTACATACACAATATACACACTTAATGCTGAGGAAGAGTCAACAGGAGACTTAACAGAGTATTTTATCTCAAGAGTCGTCAGAACTAGAAAGTATAATAATGCTGGTTGCCATGGCTGAAGGAAGGAGTGAACAGGGACCCACATTCACATGTGAAAGGAAGTCACAGGGATGGGTGGGTGGTGGTATTGGCTACATTTTAACAGTCTGAACACTTACGAACTGTGTACTAAAAATGGCTAAGATTATAATTTTGTGTTACACCTCTTTTACACAGTAAAGTCAATGGGGGTGAGGGGATGTGCAGTTCAGTGACAGAACACTTGACTAAGAAAAATACAGCAGAAACCAATAATACCAGTATATATGAAATGGATGGCTATAAAGTATCTCTACTTTTAGAGAAGTCATGCAAAAGTATTTTTGGGGGAAAGAGCCAAAATAAATGCAAATGTTCACGGGGAAAAAAATCCGTTTGAGAGTGAATAATAATGCCAATGAGGGACTAGGGCTGTGGCTTAGTTAGCAGAGTACTAACTAGTATGAGCGGAACTCTGGTCTTGATCCTCACCGTCCCCCACACCTCACCCTATAATCCTAACACCTGAGAGATGCAGGCAGGAGATCTGGCTATGCAAGGTAATAGCCAAAACTAGTTTCAGGCTAACACCTGAACCTTTCAAGGCCACATGAGAACCTTCCAAAATACTTTGTTTTCCCAGCAAACAAACCACTGCAGAGGAATAAAATGTTAATAGGTAAATCTAGATTATGTATGTATGCTGGTTAGTTTTATATCAACACAGGTTATCTGGAAGGAGGAAACTTCAATTGAGAAAATACATCCATAAGATCTGACTATAAGTCATTTTCCTAATAAGTGATTGATTATTAGGGCCCAGCCCACTGTGGGTGCCTTCCCTGGATTGGTGGTCCTGGGTTCTATAAGAAAGCAAGCTGAGCACATCATGAAGAGCAAGCCAGCAAGCAGCACTCTCCATGGCTTCTGCATCAGCTCCTGCCTCCAGGTTCCTGCCCTGTCTGAGTGCCTGCCCTCACTGCTTTCCATGATGGACTGTTATGTGCAACT